ACTTATGGTTTACAATAGGTGTCTGGTGGGTTTGAACTACCAACCTTATGGTTAGAAGTTGAGTGCTGTTTCTACAGCGTTGCACCAGTAGTCCATTTTGCTCAGAGAATCCTTCAGTATTTCAAGTTGAGGCTTGAATATTTTTCTTGAGTTCTTTCTTGAGAAATACTGAGTGTATTCGCCTTTTTTGGTTTTCTAACTCCAGTTCTCTGCATATTTCATGATAACTTGGTCTTCTCAAGTTCCATTTTGGAATTTTTTGTTCAATTCTTTCACTTCCTCATTTTTTCCCATTCACTTTAGCATTCTGCGCTAGAGAGCAAGTTTCAGAGTCTCTTCTTACATCCATTTTGGCCTTTTCCTTCTTTCTTGTCTTCTAAATGAGCTTTTCCTTTCTTCCTGTCACCTCACCACTCTTCTATTCTTTGGTCATTGTGTCTAATGCAACACATCTGTTCTTGAGATGATTTCTAAATTCCTGTGGGATATGTACAAGATCATAATTTGACTCTTGTGAACTTTTCATTTTCTTTAGCTTCAGCCCAGATTTGTTGGTCTGATCAACAGTATACGCCTGGGGGTCTTGTTTTGGCTGATGATATGGAGGTTTTCTACTGTCTCTTCCCACAGAGGTAGTTAATTTAACTTCTGTGTATTCTATCTGGTGAGGTCCATGTGCATAGTTATCTTTTATGTTATTTTAAAAGGGCTTTGCAGTGAACAAATGATTGGCCTTGTAAAATTCTGTCATGTAATCTCCAGCATTGTTTTTATCACCAAGGCCATAGTTTCCAACTACTGATCCTTCCACTATGTTACAAACTTGGCATTCCATTTACCAGTAACTATCATACATCTTGATTGTATAGTTGATGAATTTCACATGGAAAAAGTTGGTAGAATTCTATTTCATCATCACTGATGTTAGTGGTAGGTATGTAAATTTGAATAAAAGTGGTGTTAACTGTTGTTCCTTGTATGCATGTGGATATTATTGTATCACAAACAACATTATACTTCAAGATTGATCTTGAAATGTTAATTTTGATGATGAATGTGATGCCATTCTTCTTCAATTTGTCATTCCCAGCATAGTAAACCATGTGACCATCAGATTCAAAGTGACCAATAGAAGTACATTTCAGTTCACTAAAAAATGCTCAACAAATAATAATAAGATAAGCTGCATTGTATGAGAAGAATGTCGTATACAGATTGGAGGAAGATTCATTGGCAATGTGGGTTAATACAATGGATGGCATAGTCTGTTTGAACTATGAGGTTGGTAGTTCAAGCTCACCAGCTGCTCTTCGTAAACCCTATATAGGGTCGCTGTGGGTCAGAACCTACTTGACTTCACTTAACAACAACAACAGAAATATGCAGATGATACAGCTTTGCATGCTGAAAGTGAACAGGACATAAAATACTTACAGATAAGGATCCATTCTACAGCCTTTCATGATGGTTTGCATCTCAATGTAAAGAAAACAAAAATCTGCACCACTGAAACATAAAAAATAAAAAAAATCATGAGAAATGGAGAAAAGACTGAAGTTGTCAAAGATTCATTTTACTTGGATCCACTATCAACTCTCCTGGAAACAGTAAAGAAATGAAACAGGCGATATATTAGGCAAATCTGCTGCGCAAGACTTCTTAAAGTAGTCAAGAGAGCAAAGATGTCAGTTTGAGGACTAAGGTGCACCTGACCCAAGTCATGTTAGTTTCAATAGCTTCATACGCATGTGAAATTTGGGCAGTGAATAAGGAAGACTGTAGAAAAATTGATGCATTTGACTTACTGTGTTGGAGAAGAATATTAAAAGTACCATTAACTGCTAGAAGAACAAGCAAATCTGTGTTGGAAGCCAAAATGACCCTTAAAAACCAGGATGGCAAGACTTGGTCTCTTACACTTAAGATATATATCATCAGGAAGAGCCAATCCCTGGAGAAGGACATCTTGTGAGATGAAGTGGATGGTCAGTTAAAAAGAGGAAGACCTGGGGGTCTTGGCACAGGATTGGCACAGTGTCAGTAGCAATGAGCTCAAGCTTCCCACACATTATGAGGATGACACAGGACAAGTCAATGATTTCTTCTGTTTTGCTTTAGTCCAACGCAAGCTCAAGGGCACCTCGCAACACCAACACCAACACGAATAATCAGCTTCATGACGCACAGTCCTATTCTGACACACATGTGGTTTGCAGGAGTCTGAATCAACTCAGTGGCAAGTAGTTGGTTGTTGACATACTGTTGAAAATACCAGTACAAGTGTTTGAAGAAACAGTCAGATGTGTACCAGGCAATGTGTGTGTTTAGGCAAAAGCCTTTCACCTTTGCAGGATACATTGTTAGTTTCTTTAGAACTATTTGATCCCTTCTTGCACATTCAAGCTAAATCAGTTACGAATACCCTCCAGAGTGTGAAATTATGTGGAACAAGAAATCAGGGAATTGGACAGGAAAGCAGTAATGCCAAAAAATTATCTTTTGAAGTTATTTTCCCATCTGTAGGATATATTATGAAATGTACTTTCCCATTGAGCCATTGGAAAGCCCCTGGACTGCACAATTTTGCATTTCCACCTTAGTTACACATCAAGACTTTAATGTTTTGATAACATTGCATTTTGGTTAGAGATTTGAGATGATACGATACTAATTTGCCTTACCATATTTCTGTAGGAAAACTTCTGGTTCCTCAAACACCATTTTTTTCTTCTTTTATGGGCATACATATGCAAGTTTTGCTGAATCACTTGATTTCATGCTTATAATTTAGCAACTGAATACTGTTTGTCAGTAATAGTAAAATGAAGCCCCTAGGGTTTCTTATTGCCCTCCAAAACACTGATTCATACTTCTTTGAATATTCATAAGTGTCTACAGTTTGTAATTTTATTTGTTTGAAGATAATCATTTTGCTTTTAACATTTTTCAGGGCAGAGTTGAAATTTTCTATATTATGTTCTAAAATAAAAAGGCGCAGTCTCACTGTATATTGTCTTTACGTAGGCAATTTATATCATCAGCCCTTTCGAGCTATGAAGTGAGTGTGTTCTCTCACAAATTGACGGTGCAATAGTTCTGATGCAAACAGTGATGCCTTTGAGTATGTTGTCGGGGTCTGCCCTCAACATAGTTGTCTTGTTCATGAGTGTTTGGTTCACGAGGAGGGGAGATCCAGCGGCGATAGGGATAGCGAAAGAATACACAGACAAACAGAAGGAGGGAGACAATGAGGCACCCCAAAGCCAGGGTGGATACATTACTGGTGGGCAGGCTTGGGACTACAGGCATCATGGCCTCTGCAGGCA